GCGCGAGGGCAGTCCTGACTCATCAGTAAGAGTTCTGTTTGGGTTTGAAAGGGTTTAGTTTTGTTTTTAAGCGCCTCTTTTCCAACCTGCAGAGTGCTCGTCGAAAATCCCTAGGGAGAAGGCTTGTTGGGCCACTTACGGACCCTTTCGCTCAGGGTTTGGGGTTTAGGGTTTGGGGTTTCGCGAGGGTGTTGATGCTTTCTGTAAGGTTCTGATCGTGTTTCTACACGGTTTATAAGGTTCACTCCGGCTTGCCCACAAAGCAACAGCTCCCGGCTTGAACTGCTACACCTACCACTCAAAGCCACAGCTGAACATTGGCTCCGCACCCTCCCTAAACCCTAAACTCTGAACCCTAAACCCTAAACCCTAAACCCTAAACTCTGAACCCTAAACCCCCAAACCCCAAAACAAAGAACCCGGAGCCCGGCTATTCAATCCTAGGCCCAGCACCGATCGGAACCCTAACCCCAAAGCCCCTCGAACTGAACGCTTTAAACCCCTGCCCGACAGCCCTAATCTTGTTGAGGCTAGAAGTCTGAACGCCGAAACCCACGGTCTGTAGAAGCTTAAGTAGTTTATGATGCATTCTTAGGTATGTCAGAACTAGCCCCAAACCCCTATTCATATTATGAAGGCCCCTGTACTAAACCTGGAAAGCAAGTTCTTCCTAATAGTAACCCTTATAGCCCCCTTGAAAACGGGCCCTGCTCTAATTGTGAAGGGCCCGGTACTGCCGTCCTGGCCATGGCTTCGTCAACCCAGCCCCGGCCGTGCACATCCCAGGAGGCGCAAGGAAGGCTCTACAGGGTTTAGGGTTTGGGGTTCAGTGTTTAGGGTTCAGGGTAGTAATTTTTAAGAGCTCAGGGCTAAAATAGGGCTCAAGGTTCAGGATATGGGCCTTGAGATTCGGGACTTGGGATGTGAGATTCAGGATTTGCCTCAGGTTTCTGGGCATGGATAAGACATGCGCCTTAGGGCTGAGACATTGTATTCCTACTTGTCGGGTATCATGGGGAACTAAAGGTTAACCTTTTTGCTTGTATAGGGATTATATAGGGACTATACTACCCAAAAGGGTTAAAGGTTACCTAGTCACCCTACTAGGTATTAGGGACTCCTCGCGGTAACTATTTGCCAGCTATTTCGACCCCTCTATCAGCTGCTTGGACCTGCAATGGGCATTTAGGTGCACGACTTGCACCTCTTCGTCGAGAAAACCCCCCTGCACCCTAAACCGTAAACCCCCAAGTTCTTAGTATGTCACTTGTAAGTCAATAAAGGTGCGATGGCTAAAGGTTGCCCTAAGTCGAAGCCCAGCTACTTACTTATTGGGTTACCACACTATCTGGCCACATACGGAAGAAAGTAACGTTTACCATATTGCCTTAGCCTTAAACATGACGTGACTCAGTTGAAACACTTGCAGAAGGATGTTAATTTTCGTCCGCCCGCGAGTGAAATCGCCCGCTTCCACGAAGTTGAAAATGTAGGCATCCGGACATGGGCCCTGCCTTGTTCATCACAGCTTGGTATCTACCCGCCAAATTACACTGCAGTGTCACCACAGTCCTAGATTCACAGAAGACGGTGTCAAGTCCTCTGTTTCAGGTCATGCTGAAGCAGCCCTTCATGGTGGGGCGGGGAGATTGCTAGAACATATTAGAGCCCCAAAATTTACTCAAAACTCTGCACCACAAAGCCCTAAAACCGCAAACCCCAAAACCCTTAAACCTTGAAACCCTAAACCCTGACCGTTCTAATTCACTTTCTTGCCCATGCCCGTTCGCCCTTCGAACGGGGCTGTTAACACCGGGTCACGGCCGCGGATTGTCAAGAAGAGTATGCTGCCTAGAATTTTTTCTAGAGTTGAGGGGTCTGGCACTCGGTTTTAGGATTTAGGCTTTTGGAGGGCTTTCGGAATTTCGGATTTCGAGCTGAGTGCTTTCTACACGGTTTGGGATTTTTTTCTCGGCTTTCAGGGCTTACAACTCTGATGCCTCCATGTGGTACACGGTGGAGACTGCAAGCCACAGCTTGCAAGCCGCCGAAGCTTACCTTTGGTTAGTAGGGAATGGAGGAATGGAGTATAATTATATTCTAGGCCCTCCCTGACCAATCCGCCTCGAAGTTCGTGCTGCAAGCATTTTTGCATGCTGTCTCGACTTGTTGTCTCTCGGTGCTTGCACACGCAGTGTTGGCTGTGCTTCGAACCCTAGCACCCCCATGCATCTGCAGATGTGATGAACATGTCTTTCCTTGCCATGCAGTTTCTCTGTCTCTGCCTACATCTTTTCAGCCTGTAAAAACATTGCTGTTGCTTTGAGAGCTTGGGTCCACGAACCAGCTTCGAAACCAGTCGAGGCCTGGATTTCCGTTCCTCTGCAGTTGATCATTTTAAAAGGACAGGCGGGGCCTGCGTGTTGAGATTGAGGTGAACGTGCTGCCTCAGGCATACCCGCCCGTTCTGCGTGCTGCCTCACATCCGTTGCGGACCCGAGCGTGCTGTCTCGGTGATTGCGCGCTGTTTCATTTGTCTGCGTGTCGCCTGACCCGATTGGGGCCCGATGTGTGCTAGCAAACATCCGACAGCAAATTACTGAGGTGGAATGCAATTATCCTTGCAAGGCCGCACAATCCCTTAAACCATCCTTTCGCGAAGCCACTCTTGATTTTATGCGTGCTGCCTCGATTGTGGCGACTGCGTGCTGCCTCGGAAGACGCGCTTCCGCACAGTGCAAGCGCGCACATGCCGAGACGACGCTCAGACGACGAGGTGGCATGCAGCAGGCCAGCCACCTGCGCAGCGCAGGAATGGAGACCAGCACCGAGTGCAAATGGTTTCACAGGTTGAGAAGGCTGGCTGCGTGCCCTGGCTTTCGCTAGATCATCTGCAAACGTGCTGTCTCGGGCACGCGTGCTGCCTCGCTGTTGTGCGTGCTGCCTCCTAGGCCCAAATCCAAAGGCCGGTGGCAAGAGAAAGAGGGGAACACCCCCCTGATTGCAAGTGGTTCCGAGCAAACATCTCTTTCAGGGGCAAACAAGAGTGAACTCGACATAGCAGGGTAACATCAACGACACATCTGCGGATGCGTGGGGGTGCTAGGGTAGCCAGCAGTGTGTGTGCAAGCACCGAGAGACAACAAGTCGAGACAGCATGCAAAAATGCTTGCAGCACGAACTTCGAGGCGGATTGGTCAGGGAGGGCCTAGATATATACTGTTACTACAAGTTTACTACCATATTACTATCATATTACTACCATAAAACTATACTATTACCGCCATTCTTCCATTCCCTACTAACCAAAGGTAGGGAAAGGGCCATTGGAATGGTGTCCGTGGGACTCAGACCTGTATCACGGCTCTTTAAGATGCTTGGCTAGATTTGGGAACTTCCGAAAATAGGGGACCCTAAATAGTATAGGATCCTTAGTATTGTAAGGACCCCAAAATGAGGTACCCCTAATTTTCGGAAACTCCCAGTTGGAAGCTCCTGCCTTGGATTTAACCTGACAGGCCGCAGAATCCTTTCGCAGGTACCCGGTGAAAGGTCTCAAATTGATACATTAGCGTGAAAGTCTGCTGCACTGGCAGTGCGGAAACCTTCCGGATTCCCTAGATGTGCCCGTAAGAGTTATCAAGTCGGGAAGCCAGTCTTCGAATGTGACGATGTTTGGGGTTTAGGGCATTCAGCCGCGATTTCCGCCAGTGCTTTGTGGCAGGACCGTAAACCCTGAACCCTCACGCATTGCTCATGGAAGAGGCTCAGAGCTAGTCCTGCAAACTTGATGGCCAAGGTCTCTATATAGGGGCCTTGATAAACAGCAAAATGGTTGTGGGGCGTATACATATGTTACCCATACTTACACACACACACACACACTTGAATTACTTGTTTTCAAGCATCGTAATTATTGGGGACGTATCACAGAATACTGTTATATATTCCGCCACTACATGAGTCCCCACGGACTCGAAAGCTTGGAAAGTTTGGACGAAAGCCGAACCGCTCCAAGTTCCACATTGGAATACTGATTAAGCTGCGGAGCCGGTCAGAGGATCGTTGTCACCTTTCTACACAGAATCTGCAAGAAGATGTAAATTACCGGAAGATCGAACTGAAGCACGACAAGGACAGCTCCTGTGCACGCGCCGCGTGAGCCATCAGCACCTGGCGATATTGTGACAACTTGGGCCCATGCGTCGGCAGCAGCCGCCTAGAGGAACCACCGGCAGCACTGCTGGCCACTAGTACTTAGTAAACACCCGTTGACCTGCAACTTCCCTTTGTTTGTCCTGCCAGCAATATCAGAAGAATCCAAGCCCTGGAGGAACACGTCTCTCATCCAACGACTTACCTGCCGACTCGTCGACCGTCTGCTTGCTGTTTACGCCTGAAACTGCACTTTGCCAAGCCTGTGGAGATGCTGGAGCAGATATCAGAGGACTAGGATTTGCAGGAGTCGTGTTAAGGGGTTTATCTAAGCTACCATAAGTCTCACACCCTCCGGCCGATGCCTAATATACCGGCCTTAGGAAGTAGAACAATTTGGCATATGATGCTGTCAATATAAACAGGAGCCCTAAAGAATTCCATTAGCAATGATTAAACAAATGCAGTAAGCACAACACCATTATTTCCGTACCACAAAAGTACTCCAAGAAGATTGCAAACCTTCAACCCCTAAAGCCTCAACCCCAAATCAGAAGCTCTACTGCAGGGGCCTTAGTAATTAGAACAGTATGGCTTGAAGTTTGGGGGTACATTATGCTATGATTGTAAGAAGGAACCCCCCAACACCCTGGCCCTATTCAAATACTTATTAAGGCCCATTCTTGGAAGGGCAGGGGACTTAGTAAGTAGCTTATAAGTAGAGTTATAAGTACCCTAAATGGAGTTACCCCAATTATAACCCTACTTATAACCTACTTACTAAGTCCCCTGCCCTTCCAAATTAGACCCTGAACCCCATGCAAACCTTCAGCCCTTGACACCTCCTAGCAGAACCTGATTTGCCTCGGCGGGGATTTCACTCGTCGAGCCAATGCTGATGGCGACCTGCTCAACGTTTAAGGGCTTGGGGTTTAGGGTCTTAAAGTTAGGGCTTGGGGTTTAGGGTTTGAGGTTACGGCTATGGGCTCAAGCTTTCCGTTGGGTTGAGCTTGAGGACAACAGATCTTAAACCGTTTACCCGAAGCCGCACCATCGCCAGGTTCCCAGAGACACAAAGGTTTCCCTTGTAATTCGCGGCCACCGGTGCCTTCGAAACGTAAGCAGCATTCCTTTCTTGATTGTCGCACTTTGGAGTTTGCATCAGCGCGCTAATTACAATCGTCAACGACGCTCAGAACAACTCATAAGCATCAAAACCAACACAGGACGAGCAACAGTAGCAGCAGTGAGTGCAACAGCGCTGAAAGTTGAACACCAGGCAACATAACACCACGACGACGACGTCGCCGCCAGCAGCAGCAACAACAACAGTAATAGCAGCAGCAGCAACAACGACAACAACGATGCCAACGCCGTCGTCGTCGGCCTCGCTACCACCACCAATCTCCACACCATCACCACCACATCACAAGCATCACCAGCATCAGCTCCAGTGCCGCCATCACCAGCACCACCACCACCACTAAGAAGACAGCATGATAAGAAGAAGAGCAACAACAACGACCCCCACAAGCACGACGACCACAACGACCACCACAAGAACAGCAATAATCAAAGAACGGTGCAGCCGCAGCAGCAACAACAGCCAAGCAGAAACGATGTATGCAAATTGGTGCTTTGAAAACTCACTAATGCTCCCAACAGCGACAATTGTCGTATTCTAAGCAACAAGATCCGACAGTGTCAGCATGGCTCGCTGTGTGACTTGCACCGACTGACTTCACGAATACTGCTATATACTCTGACTCATTTCCTTTTCGGAAAAATACGAACAAGAAGGACAGAGCATCACCCTGACGAAACAACAAGAGTCGGAAAAACCAAAAGCCAAATCCCTCAAAACGCTCAACTTTCCCTAAACCTTAAACCCTAAAATTTCCCTAAACCTTAAAGCCCTATCCCTCCTAAGCCCTGCGCTTCGCGGCATCGCGGTAGGTAGGACTCCGCAACTCCTCGCGAACGAAGCGCAGCCTGGGTGGGGTCAGGAAGCTTTGCGGAAAAAGGGCTCCGTTGAGAGTTCCTTCATGGGGCGAATCTAGTACGGTGTACAGGAAATCCTGGCAAAATACAGTCGCCCTTTTCGCAAAGCTGGTACTGTAGGAGCCTTTAATAATTCGAATAGGGTTTTGGGGCCCATTATACTAGTTATAGTAAGGACCCCATAGTATTGGTAATTGTTTGGGTGGTTGTCAAAATTATGGCCCCTGCTTGGGTACCCTACATATTAGGTGCCGTATTATAAAAATGGCGCAAAAGGGGATCCTAATCTTGACAACCACCAAGTTAGGCCCCTATGGTAGAGAGGGCTCCATAGCCCAGCAACCTGCTGCCCGACGTTCTGGGTGATGCACTTTCACATGCTCGGGGCAGAGACACCAGGCTGTTAGTCCAAGGGTGAGATTTAGGGTTTAGGGTTCAGAGTTTAGGGGTTTAGGGTTTAGGGGTTTAGGGTTCAGGGTTTAGGGCTCCGGATTTAGAGAGTTAGTGTTCCGTGCTTCGATGGCTTTGCCGACACTGAATTTGTTCAGCAGGCCCGAGATCTTTTCGGGCCGTTCCCATTTCAAGGTCGACGGAGCCCAAAGCCACGACCGAGAAGCCAGGTTTGGCATGCCAGAACCGACAACTCCGAGCAGAACATTTGCTGATTTCGCGTGGTATTGCTTAGGTACTGCCCCCTTACAGTAAGAGTCTATAATAGGGCTACTATTAAGGTCCTAATATATCTATATTATGAATATTATTCAACTATTGCTGAGTGGGGGCCGTACCCAAGGTATTGTCATTGTAGGAAAACGCTTCGCAAAACTTCGTGCATCAACTCCACAGCGCAAGACCAATAGGAAGGACACGGCTTGCCACATTTATGATCCCAGTGGGGAAGAGCTCCCTCATGTAATAGTTCTGGGTTGTTGCCCCGTTCACAGTTGTCTTGAAGGGTAGCGTCGATATGGACACAAACAAATTCCGGAATGGCAAGGTACTCACAAATCTGAACATCGGATATGTCAGGTGGTGCATTAGAAGCCCATGCAAAAATCTGGTGCCCAAAAATCTTGAAACAAAAACACCATTATTTCATTTATGACAGTAAGGCTATGGTGGGGCTGCTGGTTTCCCTAAAGGACGAAGCCAGGTAAAGCGCAGAAGTTGCCTTTGAGGGTGGAGGCTGACGAGTATGTAGATGGCAGCTTCGTTTATTGAAGAGGCATGCTGACATTGGAAGACTGCCACTAATAGGCCTTGGGGCCCCTATAAACCCTACTTGGAGGGGCAGGGGACTTAGTAAGTAGGTTAGAAGTAGGGTTATAATTGGGCTAACTCCATTTAGGGTACGTATAACTCTACTTATAACCTACTTACTAAGTCCCTTGCCCTTACAAGTAAGAAACAAGACATACGCCCTAATCCCTAAACTCTAATTCCATGAACCCCCAACCGAGGAAAAGTCCGAGCAAATCCTAAGAAACAAGACATAACCCTCATCCCTAAACCCTATTCCAGTACCCCCCAACCCAGGAAAACTCCGAGCAGTTCTGAGTTCAATGTCAAGGCTGGCGCTCCGAGGAAGTCCACTGCCGGTGGAGTCTCCTCAGCTCGGGTGCGACTCGACGACCCCAAGTCTACTGCAGGGGCCTTGCTCCTTAACTACCCCAAGGGCGTTGAGGCTCAATAAGAATACCTATAGTCTCCTTTGTAGCTCCTTTTTGGGGTTACCTTATAGGATCCTAATTATATTTGGTTAAACCAGAAAAAGGAACTACAATGGAGGCTATAGGTAGGGGCCTAATAATTAGTTCAGGGCCTGCACCTTCATTACCACAGGGGCTTCAATACTGCTGGGGCCTTCAGCCTGAATGGAAGATCACCGCGTAACTATACAAGGGCTAGAACGGGATAACAGTTAAAAACTCCGACATTTACTACATGCTTAAGAAGTCGGACCCAGTCGTGGGAAGATGTTGGCAAAGATGATGGCGGCTCTGCTGATGGTAGGGATGATTCAGCCTGCAGACTCAGTCATCATAAATCATAAAGTCGAAAGCAGCAGTAGCAGCAAAGCACAGGACGGGAATAAAAACCAAGCAAGGCTGCTCCAAGCCTTTATCAAGCCGGGAGGCTTCAAGCACGAAGCCTTAACTCCGAAACCCAGACCCAAACCGCTACAGTAATCCCCATTAAGTTGGAAACCGGATTAAGGCCAAATAGTGCTGGGATTCCCTTAAGGATTGAGGCTATTGGGTTTCCAACTTTTTGGCTTCTACTGTAAACCGTCTCCAAAGTACGATGGCCCTTGCGGCTCAGCTGCTGCTCTTGTGCCATGACCTTGCTGATCTGCTCCTGTCTCTTCAGGCCCTACACTCTAAACCCGAACACCCCGAAGCCCTAAATCCGAAACTTGTTTAGTGGCCCATACAGGGCTCATAGGTTTAGGGTTGTAGGATTTGCACTCACCCCGTGGTTGTTTCAAAGCTTCTGGTGCCGCGCTTCGAAAGAAAAGCCCGGCTACCGACCAGACGAGATTGGGCTAATTCAAACGCCAAGCTCTACCCCTGAACCCTTAAACCCGAAACCCCGAGCCTTCAACCCTGAACCCTAACCCTAAGGCTCTAAGGACTCTTATTTTAAGGCTTTTGGGCCTAAAGACCACATTATATAAGTCTTTCGGGCCATTTTGAGCCTTAGGGTAACAAAAACCTTAACCCCAATTGAACCCTGCATCTGGACTAGTTCCTGAGTTCTGGTCTCGACCTCCAAATTTATCGGGCTTAGGGTCGAAGGTTCACGGTTTAGGGTTTGGGGGCTTCGGGTTTTAGTGGTGTGGGGCTTTGGGGATTTAGGACTTTAGGGGTTTAGGCTTTTAGTGTTTCGGGCTTCAAGTCTGCAAAACCGGCACTGATACGGGGGAAGCCGAGGCGCGGTGTCCGCGCCGTGGAAGTCTCCGAATTATACAAAAAATATCAACATGCCTATGTCGTCTCTGAGGTTTGCCTCGCATTCCTGCTCGAGGTTCGAGGCTAAGCCCAGAGCTGATTCGTATCAAGTATCATCTGCACCGTCAGTATGTGTCTGATCGTCGCCGTCTTCCTCATCAGCACAATCATCGTCATCTTCGGCGTATTCAACAGAAACACCGCTCAGCATCAGATCAAAATCAATGTCAAAGGCTCAACACCAACTCCCCATGATTAGACTGGCTTCGTTTGTCCGTCTTGACATAAATCGTCATAAATCCTTCCTCAGGTTAGCATCGTTTGCAACCACACTTCGAACTTAAGGCTTAGGGTTGATCCTTGCGAGCGAACTGGCACGTAGCCCTAAACTCGAAAAGCCTGACATTCGATAGTATGGATTCCCAGGCCAGCAGTTGCACCTGAACCGAAAACCCTTGCACCCTTTACTGTTTCGTAAGGCGGGGCCGGCAGTGAACCAAACTACTCACTATATGGGAGTTTCCGAAAAATAGGGTGTACCTTATTTGGGGTCCTTATAACAAGGATCCTACTATTTAGGGTGCTATACTAGGGTCCCCTATTTTCGGAAACTCCTATATACTCATTCGGGAGATTCGAACTTCGGCAAGTTTTTGTGTTAACTCCTTTTTGCTCCTGCCCCTAGATCAGCAGTTACAAGGCACCTATGCTCCAGGAGAAGATGGTTTTTTCTCAGAATGGGCTTAGGGTCTAGAGCTCGAGGTTTAGCCCTCCCTCCTCTGCGTGCTCATCCGACTGGCGCATTTTCAGCTGGTGGAGGCAGTTGTTCGAAGCTAGGAGACCCCGTCTCGAACCTGGGATGGGAGGGAGGTATGGGCATGACAAGCCCATGAAGACCCTCTGATCTTGGAGCCAAAGAAGCCCAGAGACCTGTAAGATACTTATATAAGTGAATTCAGGATGCACTTGACACAGCTTGGGGGGATCCTTAGGTAAATGTGGGCTCCATCACGTTGCCGCATCTATGAACATCCGTGCCCGGATTCGCCTTTCCGTCCCGAAGCGACCCTACCATGACGGTTTAGGGTTTACGGGCTCAGGTTTCAGGCTTTAAGAGTCTATAGGGTGCTGATGATGCTGATGCTGGTGCTCAAGATGACGGCGAACGACGAAGCCAATGCCCTTCAACTATGACGATGAGCATGTTTGTCACGGTTCTTCTTAGGGTTTAGGTGTCCGGAGGCCAAAAAAATCTCAGGAATAGCAATCCGGAGCCATAAATCCAGCACCAGAAAACCTAAGCCTAAACCACTCAGATCCTACACTCAGAAGCATGGCAAGATCAAAACTGGACTCTATAGGCCCTGAACCCCTAGTGCCATAACTCCCGACACCCTGCACTTGAACCCTAATCCCAGAAGCCTGCACCCTTGAACGCCCAACACTGCCACTCTGAACTCTCACGCCCTGGGCCCCTAAACCCATGAACCCCTCAACCCCATAACAAAAGAAGCAACACTACACACACAAACTCACAAACCCCCAAAGCCCATGGCACTGCAAGGGCTACTTGGAGGCTCAGGTACCCCTAAACCCTCAGCCCTAAACCCTAAGCATCTCTAAGCCCTAAGACCCACTTCGAGGCTCAGGTCCCTACTGGCCGTAGGACTACCCGGCGGGCTTGCACTTCGGCAGGTACCTGAAAGTGTGGGGTTTGGGATTAGTTGGGCCGCCCTTTTTCGGCGCAGTGCGGTCGCTTCCGAACCCAAATCCCGAACATCACCACACTACCGGAGGGAGGAGAGTGAATTACCATGACTACTATTTGCTTAAGAAACACCCAAAAATAAAATAATAATCCCCATATTACCACCATAAGGAATATATTTTTAGTAGATGACGATAGTGCCGAAGCGGCTTAGGGTTTGGGGATTTGGGGCTTAGGGGTGGGGGTCCCCAAGAACGCAAAGGTTCTCTGAGGCCCAGCATTTCGGAATAACCGGGGACTGCAAGAAATCCGGGGCACCTTTCCTCGCTTGTTTTGAAAAGGTTATGGCTCTTTTACTAAGCATACCAAGGATTATCTATGTGTAACTGTACTCCTTCTTGAGGCCAACTTAAAACTACACAAGCTGGTTCAGCCCGTATATTTCACGGATGCCTTGGAAATGTGCGGTTATTGCCGTTTCATTCAGGAATTCGTCTTGTTCATCGGTCCTCCTGTGGGTCTTTGCGCATGTGAATTGTCAGGCGATCTTGGGCCTCCTGAGGCCCATAATTATCCTAAGTCACCTGAATCTCAAGAAGCCCAACATGCCAATCTTGAGTGACAAAACTTCGGACCGCTTTCCGGGCCTCTTGTCCATCCAGGTAAGCGGCTACCTGGCGGGCTAGCGCTGCGCCGCGAGCCTGCATGACGTAACCCAGGCATTGGGTTTGAGTTTGGGAGGGTAGTACAAATGCGCCTGCGATCCTTGTAATGCCATACCCTAAACGGGAAAACCCTGAGACCCTAAACCCTGGGTTGACGTACTCAGAGGCTTCAAAGCCATGATTCAGTGTTCTGGGGTTGAGGGTTCACGGCGTTAAATAGACCCTAAACCCTAAACCCCTGAACCCTCTAAACCCTGCACCCCAGACCCCTAAACCGTTTAATGCAGGGGCTGAGCGGTTAAAAATAGGGTGTGGGGCCGATCCTTTATCACAGACGTATTCGGCACCTTGAAACTTAGTACTGCTTCTTTAGGCTTCTATACCAGGGTTTTAGGATGTCCCAAGCCCCACCTTAAAATTCCTATGCCCTCAAATTAATCCCTAAAGCCCTATACCCTGAACCGATAAAACGCCTACACCAAAAAGCACTGGACCCAGAACCACTAAACCTCCGAAGGAGAGACTGGTGGAAGCCTTCTACCTTATATAATGGGCTTCATTGCAAGAGGATTTATATGGGGTATCCCTATCCCAATTTTTGCTCCCAATCCCACTAAGCCCTAAACCCTCAACCCTAAACCCCTAAACCCTAAACCCCCAAACCCCCAAACCCCTTAACCCCCAAGACTCCTAAACCCAAACCCCCCCTCTAAACCCCAAAGACCTGCTTGTTGGGGGGGGCCCTAAAAGACAGACTGGGAAGCCTTGGAGCGACTCCAGCGGTGAGCTGTTCCACTTGGGGATCAAGCCCTCGGAGCAGGGCTTAGGGCTTTCGGGCTTTACGGTGTAGGGCTTAGGGTTTAAGGTGTAGGGTTTAGGGTTCAAGGTGTAGGGTTTAGGGTTTAAGGTGTAGGGTTTAGGGCTTTAGGGTGTAGGGCTTTAGGGCTTTAGGGTGGCTTTAGGGTTTAGGGCTTTAGGGTGTAGGGCTAAGGGTTTTAGGGTTTAGGGCTTTAGGGTTAGGGCTTAGGGCTTAGGGTTCAGGGTTTAGGGTGTAGGATTTCGGGTTTCGGGCTGTAGGGCGTTGGGCTTTAGGGTTTAGGGTGTAGGGTCTACGGTTTAGGTTTCTTTCTCGGGTGTATAGCAGAAGCCAGAAAGTTGGAACATTAGTATCTTCATGCCCGAAGGTAAAGTATAAGGGATCCTAGCACTTTCTGGGAATCGCTATATAGGTCTTACATAGAGCTTCTTTGGTGTTTGTGGGGTATGGGGTTTAGATTTATAGCTGTTGAAAAGAGAATGGTGTGATAATTCCTTTTCGGTCTGTACAGGGGTGTAGTCGTGGATTGAGTTTCAGTCGTGGTTTCAGCGGGGTTGTCAAGGGGTTTTATATAGTTTGTCGGGTTTCATACAAGGTTGATCAGGCCGTGATCAGAGTTTATTGAAGCCTTCACAAAGCTTTATCAAGATTTACAAGGCTCTTACAAGTACATGGCGTGGCTTGTGGGGATTTTCTGCTTTGGCTTCGGAGTCTTTGGGTTGAGGGTGCTTTGGAGCTTTGGTGCTTTTGGCGTTTGTTTGCTTTGCAGGCTCTTGGTTTTGGGGCGCCGGGCTTTTAGCCTTCAAATTAGATTAGGCTCCTGAGCTTCGATTCAAGAATTCATAGCCAAAGTGGTTACGGCTCTTGGGCGAAAAGACAGGATGGGGGCTTTAAGGTTCTGGGGCGTGGGGGTTAGTAGCCCCTCAGCCCTAACCCTAAACCGGTTGCGGGAAGTATCCTCTAAACCCTAAATCTAAATAGGGCTTTGGTGAAAATGCTTTCGGGTGGCGGCTCTAAGCGGAAGGTGTGAAAGGGTTAGGGTTTACAGCTTTCTGTTTCGAGCCAAGGGTTCAGGATCGTGAGTTTTGGTCTACTACCTGGACCCCAGAAGTATGTAGAATAAAAGCCTTTTCTGGGTATTGGACCATTATTTTACCTACTTCCGGGGGTTTAGGTATACAACGGCCACTATGACTCCAGTATAGATGTAGCAAAAAGTAGAAGCGGCACTCGCAGTAGCGGCGCAACATGCGCGAGTCGGAATATCGGCACTATAGGGGCCTCGGTAATTAGGACACGGTTTTGGGGCGAAAGCCTATCTTACACTGTAGTTATAATAAGGAACCACCAGAATAGTATTGGTAAAGCTTTAGGCCCCTAGATTGGGAGTAGGAGTCGTAGGAAGGCCCGATGACTTCACTTGGAAGGGCAGGGGACTTAGTAAGTAGGTTATAAGTATAGGGTTATACGTACCCTAAATGGACTTACCCCAATTATAACCCTACTTATAACCTACTTACTAAGTCCCCTGCCCCTCCAAGTAGATTGGGAGTAGGAGTCCTACGGTTGATGATATAAATACTGCATTACCCTTATTAAGGAGTATACCATAATTCCCATAGTTTAGGATCCTTAAGGTAATGCAGGATTTCTATCATCAACCGTAGGAAGGCCCGATGACTTCAGTCCCTGGGCACGGGACCTCAGGGAGGCCCTGTGAAGCGACAGCACTCCTGGCAGAGGTCATGTGGGTAGGGCTCCTTTTGGGGTCCTAGGCCTTGCTATAAGAGTGCCGTTTCGTGGAGAAGTCTACAAGGGGACCCTCATTTAGAGAACTACCCAGATATGATTTCTGACGGTGAGTTGATAGCCTTCGTGCTTGCGGATGCTTGCGAATCAGTTTGGGCCCGGTAGCTTTGGGTCTGTTCGATGGGTTTGGGGCTTTGACCTGCGGTTCAGTGGTTGACAGGGATTAGGGGTTTGGGGTTTCAGCTCGTTGAAATAGCCACCAACATGGGTATACTAAAAAAGCAAAGCACTGTCCTTCCGTAGAGCGTCAACATTTGGGGTTCAGAGTTCAGGAATTTGGGTTTACGGTAGGGTTCGGGTTTGAACTTTCAGAGTCTGAAGTTCCGTATCTGCGATCTGAACCACAAACCATCTTGCCCAAAACCCTAGACCTAAACCACAAACCCTAAATCCTAAACCCTATCATAAACCCTAAGCCCTCTAAGCACTATAAACCCCTTAAGCTCCTAAACCCAAAACCCGAAGCGCTCTGAAGCTCTGCATCGGTCCTCATTGGAGACCGCTGAGCCTTGGTCCGGCAGCAAGGTAGCGAAGTGCGAGGCCAGCACAAGCTTCAAAGAAGGGTTTAGGGTTTAGGCCGAGGTTGGGTAATGTAGGAACCTGATTAAGAAACCTTCGGCCTTTATTAGGGTTCCTTATATTCATATGAATCCTACTATTTTCGGGGTTATAGGCCCAGGGTTTCCTTATCAAGTTCCTACATTACAGGCGCATCTCTCCCAGCACCGAAACCCAACAGAGCATAAGGAGCTCCACCCAGCCACCACGACACAGCAGCAGAAACCACCCCGAGAGTCTCTTTGTGATGGCAGAAGCCGTGTGAAATGCTCGAACACCGCTGAATGTGTCCAGCAAATGCTGGCTTCGGTGCTGAAAACAACTGCCCACAATCCAACTGGATACCTCCTACACCGCAGGAATTTGCTACCAGTACTGTGATTACTGTTTGCTTGTGATTAGCATCTTGCAGCTTCAAGCCGTTCATATGATCCCTCCTTCTTGTAGGAACTGCAGCAACAGCACTTGCAAGAAGCGAAGACACAAAGTCATGACCCTCACCCGAAGCCGTTGAACCCCCAGAGAGCGAATATTGAACAAAGTCCAGAAGTACTTCACGGGATGGACGGGGCATATTGTAGTTTGCACCTCAATCGTCTGGAGCCGGCATTTCAGCTAATCAGGGCTTGTTTAGCTTTTAGGCGTCATCCCATCTGGTGGCCCAAAACGTTTCAAAACTCAGGTTCCGGCTGCAACTGCCTGAGCGTGGACGCTGGCGGGGACACTTATATCCCAGAGGCTCCAATATCCCTTAATTAAGGAATATACCTTAAATTATGGTAGGGATCGACTCCAACATCCCTTAATTAAGGAATATTCCTTAAATCATATTAGGGTTCCTACTGTAATTTTAAGTATATTCACTAAATAAGGTATATATTGGAGTCTCTACATATAGTCTACATGGGCTGCTGCGTGGGAATCTTGTAGTTTGCTGCTCATGGGAGCTATCCGGTCTAGGGTTTCGGCCGGTTTGTTTTATGGGCCATATTGTGCTGTAATGTCTATGAAGGGGCTGGGGGGGGGGGGGGGGCTGTAAGTAATAGAACAGCATAGACCAGAGAATAGACGAGGGCAAGGTAGGGTAGAACGGAACAGAATGGGATACGATCACTAATAAGCGGATGGAGCTTGAATTTTAGGGTTTCAGGTTGCATCAATCTGGCACGAGCAGATATGTGCCAACCTAATTTGTTTTAGATGCCCTAAACGTGAAGGAGATGATGTAAACAAACACCTGCAGTTCGATACTGTTGAAAATCAAACGATGACCTACCTTACAAGCGAGAAAAGACCGAACACATGGTTGAAAAGCTTTATGTTTGGTGCGTTCGTGCAGGGTCTGTGCACTGTGCTTCACCTCACACTGGGTAGTGTGAGGGTTTCAGGCTCAGGGTTAAGCCAAGCGGCTGTTTCGGGATACCTCGTCGGAGAGAACTGGCTGTACAGCAGGTCCGACATCCTGCATGCATTTCGCAATGCTGTTCACTGGCATTTTGAATTACAGCTGGAAAGTGTAGTCTTAGACGTTGACAATGAGGATGATGGTGATGATGAGGATGGCGAAGATGAAGATGATATGGACGATGATACGAGACGCTACCTGCGCCTCCGGAGATTGACAGGAATCATGCTGGTGGACTATAAGCACAACTCGCACAACAAACCTTTGGTGCCACTACTCTGTTTGCGGTAGTCTTGGCAGTAGCACCAGCAAGAGCTGCAGCACTCAGAAACGCAGCAGCAGCAGCAGCACCAGCAGCAGCAGCAGCGGCAGCAGCAGCAGCAGCAGCAGCAGCAGCAGCAGCACCAGCAGCAGCAGCAGCAGCAGCAGCAGCTGTGGCAGCAAGAGTGGCTGGCAGTAGCGGTCGTCGCACAAGCCGAAGTGGTTGCCGTTGTCGGAGTCGGAGCAACAGTAGGCGTAGGAGCAGCAGCAGGAGAAGTAGCAGGAGGAGGAGCAGGAGGAGCAACACAGCACAGCAGCAGCACAGGAGGAGTGACAACAACATCCCAACAACACAAACTCCCAGACGGTCCTGCCAAAATCCGCCCAACACCCTTCAACCAAGACCCCCAAACTATACTGAACTTAGAACCCTAGCAAAAATACTAATTTTAGCTGATTCTTAGGGATTATAATAACCAAAAATTGAAAAAACATTTTCTAAGTACCCCTAAGCAAAGTGCTTGGTCCTGTATCGTCGGTTGACTGGCCGAGGAGCCGGACTCCTAGGCCGGGAGTCCGACTACTGAGAGCAACCAGCATAACTTAGGTACGGCCCCCATAAAGGGAACTCCAGACAGTTGGAATATGGTTTCAGGGTAGGATACCTTGTAGTTTACCTTAAAGGGGTTAGGATAATCATATTCCAACTTTCTGGCTTTTACCTTACAGTAAGAGTCTATAATAGGGCTGCTATTAAGATCCTACTTATTAATTATGAATGTTAATTCTTCAACTACTACTGAGTGGGGGCCGTACCTAAAGCATAACAGAATATGGGTAGTTCTCGAAATTGAAGTCCCTCCCTTTCCAGGTCCCCCCCAAAATACGGCACGCGTGTAAATAGGACCCTATGAGAGGCCCTAATTTAGAGAACGACTGTACTACCATATCCATGCTGTAATATGAGTATGCTCAGGGCAGAGGTCACGATCATGACGACTTCCGTTGCGAGTATCTGTGCATACGTCATCAACATGGCTCTTCTCGTTCAACTCGGGGAGTGTTTCAGAGGACCAAAGCCCCTGTTCAGCTGCTTTTTTGGTCTGTCGTGAAATAGGGAATTATAACCCCCAAGCCAGAATGATAAAGAACCCAGACCCTCAAAGTCCCAAGACGACGTAGCACCCTAAACTCTTCCAGTCTGAAGGACCCTTCGAGGCTTTCAAGGGGACGGCGATTTTGAGCCACTCGCAAGGGCGCCCTCAACCGACAGTTCCTTTGTGGAGGTTTCCTACAGGCTGCAACTACATGACAACATGAGCTCGATAAACACCGATGCAAAACGCCGCTGCATTTGCAAGGTGAGTTCTGTTGATTCTGGTGCTTCCTAAGTCCTAGGTCCCCTGGCCCTGGGTGGCGGGCACCCAGACTTTAGCTTTTACTATCTCGATGGCATGCCAAGCCTACCCCCTAAACCGTGAAAGGCACAGAAGCCCAACAGTCTTCAGAGCCGTGCTCAAGCACCCGTTCCCGAAACTCGTTCAAAGCTAGAAATATTGAGAAACCCACCTTATAGCCCACCAAAAGCCTCCAACTTCATCAGAACCCCAAACCTCACCCCACACCCTAAACCCCAGAACCAAAACACGCTACATCCCCAAAACCCTAAACCCTCAAGCCAGAAACAAGCATATAGAAATCTCCGGGAACCCACGCCCGGCGCGGGTCCGCGCCGTGCTCGGCGCTAGGGACGCCGAGCTTGGTGCCGGTGAGACTCGGCGCTTGGCGGAATCGGGCCTGGTCTGCTTGGAGTCTTCTTAAAGGATCATGGGACTTAGTAAGTATGGTTATAAGTACCTTAAATAGGGTTATAAGTATAATTATAAGTATAGATACCAATAATCCTTGCAACTAAGCCTCCAGATCCTTTAAGTAGGGTCTTATGAAGGCACTTCGTAATACCTGAACCCTGAACCCCCAAGGGCTACTGCAAGGCTCCTGCAGGCCTCTGTTGGGTTTAGGAGTCGTTAGTCTCGGATTTATGGGTTTAGGATACTCGAGTCTGGAGTCTACTTATGAGCAGAACAGTTATATCTCATTTGCCATCATGTTTTTGCCTTGTCGTGCAAACTTGTTGAGAAGTCATAAGTCGTATTATTCGCAGGCAGTTTGTTTGTCGCTTTGGAGGTGTCTTCTTTGCTATTTTTGGTGAGGTCGACATTTCAGGAGTCATACAGCCGGCACAACCACGCCGGGACACATCAGGAGAACATCCGTGCGTCTACCAGAACGTGTGCTAGCGGCACAGCCACGCGTACAACACATCCATGTAGGCAGCTTGGAAACGTTTTGCTACATGACATTCAGGAGGAGTTGCAGGCATGTGAGTGCCGGAAACATCGTTCAGCTACATCTGCCGTCGTGACGACAAAGCTTGACAAGAAACAGTTGCTGCTAAACTGATGTTGCATCCCTTCTCGGACAAAAAATGAAGCCTAAATTTAGACGTCAAGCCAGGCAATCGAAACCCCAAGGCACGTTAATCCCTGCTGAACTTTACCGATAAAATCCTAAAGTCTTAACTGACTCAGTACTACCCCCATACATCAAATACCTACTGTCCTTACCGAAGACTTCTGCCGTACAGGGGTATCTAATCATTGAGGCCCTAGAGTAGGCCACACATAAGAAACCCTGCAAGACTTGTCGGCACCGATGGCTGTCACTGAGCACGGTGCTTTTCAGGGCTCTGGATTCCGGGCCTCGGCACGATGCTGCCGCTTGGCAAAACCCGACTCTACACTCTAAGGCCCTCGACCCCTAAATCCCCAAGACAATCCTACGTTGGGCCTTATGTAAAGTCTCGAAACTTTATCGGGACCCCCCGAGTAGCCTTTTGCAAATCCTTCTTCAGGATGGGTATTTAGGTAGAGGTGAGTTCGTGCGTGGTTCGCGTGGCTGAGCGTGGCGCTTTTCAGCGCCGTGGATTCCCGGCCTCACAAAACAGCTTCGGGGTTTGGGGCGTCGAGGTTTCTGTCAGTGCTTAGAAGGGATTAGAAGGGTTTGTTTCTATAAGACTGTCGATGAGGGCTCCCTTGGAGGTTCTCATCAGGGATTCAACAATTCTTCAGGGTTCAGGGGTCAGGGTCGAGCGGCTTCAGCAAAGTGTACCCGCGGCAGAGGGAGCTCACCAAGAACTTCGGTGTTTGTCTCGCTTCAAGAACGAGTCCCAAGGCCAGCCGGAGGGGAAATGCAGAGTGAATGAAGGACTGGACCACACTAAATTAGGGTCTGGGTGGCTGGGTCTTGAGGCAGGGTGGAGGAGGGATTGTAGACAATCTAATCATTCTCCAGCATTGGAAGTGTGGATGACTTGAGGATGTCTCTCTGGTTGAAACGACCACGATCCAATGCTGAATGACAACCCACACTTCTCTCAGTTGACACTGAAATCCTGAACCCTAAAAACTCCCATGAATCCCAAAGCCAAAGCCCTTAAAGACTTAAAGCCCCAAGAACCTTAAAACAATACCCAAAGAGCCCCCTCACTCTTAAAACTCGAAGAGCACTGTTCTAAGATGTGGGCTGCGGTCTCCGGCTCTGCAAGAGCCACGGCCGTGCAGTCCGCTCCTGGGACGAGACAAACGGTTCTGGGATTTCGGGGTTTAGCGTTTTAGGGTTTTAAGGCCTAGGCTTAGGGTTTTATTATCGGGGCTTGGGATTTGAAATTTAGGGTTTAGGGCTGCGCTTTTATGATGGGGTTGTCGAAGGTATCCACCCCTGCGGGACATGGCATTTTTGGGATGCAGGGCCGGAATCCGAAAACCCAGAACCCTCGAACACCTAAACTCTGAAACCCTTAAACCCTAAACCGTACAGCCCCAAAACCCTGCACCCAACAGAGCAGAGCTGGCCAAGATGAATGCTTGTCATATTCAGCCGATTAAATCCCAGACCAAACACAAGTCTCACAACTGACTTACTGAAGTAGTTCCTGTTTGGGGTTCATAAGTAGAATCCTATAAGGTAATCCCCCAAACAGGAACTACTTTGGGGCCTGTGGGTAAACATAATAAATCCTAAGCCCCCCAACCTCCAGCCCAAACCCGAACCTTGACCCCTAAACCTCAGCCATAAATCCGTAACCCCGCTAAACCCTAACCCTAAGGTTAAAAATGGCCCGAAAGCCTTATATAATATGGTCTTTAGGCCCAAAAGCCTTAAAATATGAGTCCATAGAGCCTTAGGGTACAAATTCACACTCAACTCCCAAACCTCAATACTACCAACTTCTTCTGTAGGGGGTCTAATTGCAAACCCTAATGCGGAATCTGCATGCGCCCTACGGAATAGTAGGTGCTGGTAGAATACCGTAACCTTGGCCCTCGAAGATTTACCTACGAATTAAGCCCCGCCAAAAAACTAAACCCTGAACCCTATACCCTAACCCCTAAACCCCTATACCCTAATAACCTTAAAACCCCCAAAGACCTACCGCCGCCAGGCACGCAAATCCCCCAAGAGGGCCCCCACCATGGTTGCGGAGCGCAACGCGCGAGCGGCGTCTGAAACCTCGATATGAGACTAGACCCAAGAGTAACCGCTAGGAATAAAAAGGGTGCCCCTTTTTGGTTTTAAGGGGCTTAGAAGGGACCTGAACCCCCCCAAAAAAGGGAATGAGGGCCTACTCTAGGTCCTAGGAGGGGCTAACAGATTTTTAGAAGGGCTTTGGGTTTAGGGTTTCGAGGGCTTTGGGTTTCGGGTTTCGAGGTTCACGGTGTGGGGTTTAGGGTTTAGGGATTCGTATTTTGCTTTTTCAGGTTTAGGGTTTAGCGTCGGTCGGTGGAAGGCTTTACGATCTCTACCCGTCTTCCGATGAAGGGGCCTTAATGATTAGAATAGGGCTTTGGGGTAGTATACTTCTTCCAGCATCTTTATAATGAAGACGCCTGACAAATATTGTTAATTGTTCCGGCTTCCGTATTATAAGGTCTTACAGAGGCGTTAGTGCTCCCCCTTCTTTCAGAACCGATTTTGGGTTTGGCTGCAAGGTGACGGAAAGCGAGCCTAGCCGCCAGCTTCGCATTGCATAAAGCACCGAACTGCACCAAAAGGGGGCCCTTCGTTCGGATTGCAGGTCTGCAGGTTTAAGGTTTGAAAGCTATGAGTTAGAAGCTGCCCCCACACCCTGTAATAGTGACTATAAGGATTATATTCGGGCCCTATTATATTCCTAGTATATCACGATTACAGCGTGAGGGGGCCCCTTCTAAGCTATGAGAGTCTAACACTTTGAGGGCTTTTGAAGTGTCCACTTCCGATGCAACCGGAAGGCTGCTACTACTGACTACTGCTTAAACTCCTAAACCCCTATACCCTAAACCCTGAACCCCTAAACCCCTAACCCTAAACCCTAAACCCCTAAACCCCTAAACCCCAAACCCTAAACCCGAAACCCTAAACCCAACCCGAAACTCTAAACCCTGCATCTGGGTGAATCAGCACAGGGGTGGGGATCCTCATGACCCCTTACTCAGCCTTGGGTATTGTGGCTCACAAGGCACGGCTGAACACAAACAGGAGGATCCGGCAATTTTGGGCCATCTTTGTCTCTTCTTTGAGGATGGAAAGCTTAAAACTCAAGGTGATGGGAGCTTGCAGAGCCAAGCAGCCGGTTGGGGGCGTCGAGCCGAATTGGGGGTACCCGGCGTATGCGAGTAACCTGCAGGAGGAGTGGCACAGGAGCAGGCAAATGTGTACAAACGGTGGGCCCGACTTGCATACCTGACGTATACGCTCAAAGACAAATAGGAACCTAGGATTAGGGCATAGCATCTTAGATCCCCAAAACCTGTCAAACCCGATGCCTTGAACCCTCACCCCAAATCGTGCTGGGGAGGGCACCGCTATTGCATTGGGCGCTTTTGGCCGGATAGTCTCTGCCTTTCCTGGTCGCCAAGATTTAGGGGACGTTGAGCTTTATATGAGAGTTTCCGAAAATTAGGGGCACCATATTTGGGGGGGGGTCCTTATTTTTAAGGATCCTACGATTTAAGGTACTATGTTAGGGTCCCCTATTTTCGGAAACTCCCATATGGCTAGGGTTCAATGTCAAGGTTCCTTTCCGAGCTCTTCTTTAAGGTTCTTGATGTAGGGTTTGCAACGGAACGCGACCTGCCAGTTTGTTGAGGGTGTGCTGGGGATGTGTCATCGCCACGAGGAAACACTGTTCTACGCTTCGTTCCTACAAAACCTTCTGCAACTGCGCACGATTTCATGAGGCAGGTGCACGGATGTTAGACATGGCCGTAGGTTCAAGGCTTGGGTTTATGGTTGGGTACGGCAAGAGGGTTTTGAGGTTTTAGAGCTTAGGGGTTTGAAACTGGTATACCCGCCAGCCGGCCTCATTGAAGCCTTCCCAAGGCCATGAACTATGTAAGAGCAAAGAAATCCCAGTCGACAAAAGCAAGCCTTTCCAGTAAAGATTATAAAGCAAAATGAATATAGGAGCCTTAATAACTAGAATAGTAGGGTTTTGGGACCCATTGTTCTGTAATAATTATAATAAGGAACCCCCAAAAAGGTATTGGCAATTATTTAGGCCACTATATGAATTATAGACCAGTAGCCCGACACCCACCCAACTCTGAGATTTACCCTGTGGCCAGCACGGCTGCTGTGATTAGGGGCTTCGGTTCAGTTTTTAGGGCATTGGCTTTGACGGTCTTGGGCTGGTAATGTAGAAAAGCCGCCCAGGGTTTTTGGGAGGGAGGGTTCTTCACGTGGGTGATCCCAGTAAGATGAAAAATCAATAAAGCCTACCATCATGGCCCCCGCATTATTGGAACCTGTTTTTATTGGAACTGAGAACCAGAGGGGCTGCAAACTGTTGCGAAACGACAAAGGGCAGATGTCAAGGTTTCAAGGTTGAAAACCCTAAACCTTCCAAATCTGATTCCCGGCTGCATTCAAATGCAAGTCACTCTTGCAGGAATCGTCGCATCTCATTGCCGGCACCTGCCGCGGGGAAAGGTTGAGAGCCAAACGATTTAATTCAGGGTTTAGGGAAAGCCAGTTTCGGCAAAATGCTAAAACACATACCAAAACATATCAAAACATACATATACCTACTTGTCGGGTATCATGGGGAACTAAAGGTTAACCTTTTTGGTTATATAGGGATTATATGGGGACTATACTAGCCAAAAAGGTTAAAGGTTTCCTACTCGACTACTAGGTATATAATCCATCAAAGCCGAAGACCACCTGCTGCCTGGCTGTCTGCATGCTCTGAAAGCCCAAACCCTGAACTCTAAACCAGAAACCTCGAGAAGACATGCTCGAAGGGAGACGAAACAAGAAGCCCGACCCTACATCCCGAACTCAGTGCACGAATCTCTCCTGTCTACACACAAGGTTTAGGTTTTAGGGGTTTAGGGTTTAGGGTTTAGGGAACCTCAGGGAACCCAGATCCCGCTGCCGCAACGCACTCTCCCGTGGCCTGCATCCTCGGAGACATTTGCATGCGTCACCTGCGACAAGGACCACCCATTTCGCTAAGTGCAGCGGGGATATGAACAGCAAGTTGCACCTACTGCTGCTACTGCGACGACGACGACGGCGACTACCACTACTCCTACTCCTACTCCTACTCCTACTCCTACTCCTACTCCTACTCCTACTCCTACTCCTACTCCTACTCCTACTCCTACTCCTACTCCTACTCCTACTCCTACTCCTACTCCTATACTCCTACTCCTACTCCTACTCCTACTCCTACTCCTGCTACTGCTACTGCTACTGCTAGTGCTAGTGCTACTGCTACTGCTACTGCTACTGTAGCAAATGCTACTACTGCTTCTTCTCACTACTACCACCGCCCACCGCCACGGCAGCCACTGCTACTACTACTACCTCCTCCTCCTGCTCCTGCTACTGTGACTACGTACCACTACGAGGACGACAACGACGACGAGTACACTACGGCTGCGACCACTTGGCACTTGGGTAACCCGCTGACAGCACACGGAAGTATTCCGGCCATGATCCCCGCGGCGACTACAGCTAGGACCTATCTGCGCCATCCAGTCAAGCAAGGTTTACCATAGAGTGTAAGGCATTTGTATGTAGAGGTTAGGGTCTACCCACGAGCCTCTAAACCCCGAGCCTGAAGCTCATAAACCCGAGAGCCTAAACCCCCAGACTCATCAAGACTCACACACCATGAACCCTTGAAGTGACACTAGCCTAGTGCTCACAAGCCCATAGAACCCTCTCAAACCCTGAACTCAATACCTTCTACACCCAAAAGCCCCGCACCCATCCTCGCAGCCGCTAGCCCAAACCCCAAACCCCTTGAAAGCAGTATAGGTAGTAGGGACTCGTAAAAACTCCTCATCATACTAGGGTTTTGGTTTTTAGGGTTTAGGGTTTTCAGGGTTTAGGATTTTGGGGTTTTAGGGTTTAGGGTCCGCGCAGCGGAAAGCCAATCCCTTGCAATAACTTGGGAGTCACCCGCAAGGGCTATAGGGCGCACAAAAACTCAGCTGCGGCGAGTTTAGGGCCTGTTTAGGGTTTCGGGATACGGCCCGAAATCCTACATAAACCTACACAAACCCTCCATAAGCCCTGTCCCTAGATAAACCCTATATAAAAACCCTCAACCCGAACGCACCTCCCCGACGCCCTCGAAATCCGGGCTCGTCCAGGAGGTGATGGGAGGCTCGGGCCTTGCTTGGACAATTCCCAAAGGGTTCATCCTTCAGGGTTTACCTGTAGCCGGAAAGACCTACCTTTTTACGGTTCCTTATCATGGTTTCTATATATAGTTCCTTGAAAAGGTAGGCCTTTTCGGCTACAGGTAGGGTTTTAGGTATTTAGGTTTTTTGTTGAACTCCTTTTTCCGCCTAAGGTGCCCTTCGACGAAAGACCCAGGGGGGTCAGGAGAGTTGGTCCCATCGGAACACAATTGAAGGCTTTAGGTTTGTAGGGTTTAAGGTCTAAGGGCAAGAGGCTTCAGAGCTGTAGGCTGTTGGGTTGAGCGCTGAGAAAAGAGGGAGAGAGGCATAGAGAGAAAGACAGAGAGAGAGAGAGAGACAGCGGTAGATCATGAAGCAAGCACATGGAGAGAGGTAAGAAAGAATATTGAAAAGACCAGGAGAGGAGACAGGCAGAAAGCGGAGACAGAGGCGAGGGAGACAAAAGGTTCGGGATGAAACTGACAAGACGACCGAAAAACGATCGACGGTAGAGTAGGGTTTAGGGTTTAGGGTTTAGGGTTTAGGGGTTTAGGGTTTAGGGTTTAGGGTTGTAAACTTCTAAAATAGATTGTGAGTGGAAGAAACCCGCGCCTCAAACCCGAAAGCTCAAAATTTCACCCTCCAACCCTTCTGAGAACCGGTGTCGAGCCGCACATGCCCAAAAACAAGCCAAACTCAAAACTCCAGACCCTGAAGCTCCGTTCTGACAATACTGAGTCTAAGAATAGCTGCTATCACTTGCTCCGGCAAGAAGGAAAGCAATGCTGGAACTGCAAACGTAACGATAGCAATACTACTCATAGCCGTAAGCACAGAAAGACCAAAACATCTACACTCTCACTAGTCTTCCAAAGCTCTTTCTGTCTCACACCAGTCCCTAAAAACCCTTAGAAAAAAACGAAACCCCAAACCGTGAGGCCTGTAAGTGTCCTACTCCGTAAACACCTGAACCTAAACCCTACAAGCCCTAAGCTCTAATGGCCATGTCTGCCCAGGAACGGACAACCTAGGCCCCTAACCAAAACCCGAATGCGATAAATCCCAGCCCCTATCCCCACAAAGCCTTAGGCCCTAAATCCTAACTCGACAAGCTCTCGCGACCCTGAACCCTAAACCCCCGTAAGTTTCCAATTAAGAACACAGCGAACGAAAGTACTCAGCCAGGAACTGCTCGCCATGCTCCTCCGCAGGTGCGACCGGAGGGAGCTCCTTCCCAGAGTTTGGGGTTCAATGTTTGGGGTTTAGGAAGTTTAGGGCCTACTGTAGGGTTCAGGATTTGGGGGTTCCGAGCTTTCGGCTTTAGGGTTTAGGGAGAGGCATACCCCTTCATTCATTGAGGAATAGAGGCTGGTAAAGCGTTGCATGAACTACTCTTGACTCAGGAATTCCTTAAGTTCTGACAAAGCGATATACAAGCATTCCGTATTGCGACGGAATTTTAAATTGTGGGTTTTATAGGGTTTTCATACCTCTTACCTAAGGAGTAGAAGGTGGTATAGTGAGGCATGCACTAGGCCTTAATTCAGGAATCCCTTAGAAGTGCTTGCACAGGCATATACAAGCATTCCGTATTGCGACGGGTTTTCAATTATGGGTGCTATAGGGTGTTCATACCCCTTGAGTCAGGAATATAGGGAGCTATAACCATTACTGTAAGTATGGGGTCTTATTAACAGGGCTGTTTGTGGGGTTCCTTTGCTATAATTTTAACAAGGAGCCCCAAAAATAGTATTAAGGCCCCCATAGTCTTCAAGAGCCGGACCAGCACAGAGCTGTTAGGCGGGTTGCTTCAGAGCAGTGCAGTTGCAGCTTCCGCAAGCTTTTGCCTGGCTGCAATGGACGGGTCATGGCAACCTGAATCCCTAAAATACTAAACCGTAAACCCTAAACCACGAGTCAGGGCACAACAGCACTTCAACTTGGTTGCCGTCAGTGCGGAGGTCATACAAGGTCTGCTAATGGCATTTCCCGAATGCTGCGGAGCCAGGCTGTTCTTGCTGCTGCTGCTTGTCCCGCAGCAACCGTTGTCGCAGGGTGAAGCCTTTCCTCACGGTGCCGTCGATCTCAGCAGCTGACATATTCTTGAAATTGTCAACCGGGCTCTTCCTGACCGGTAGCACTCGGTACGTGCAGGGTCGAAAGCTGGTAATTGATGTTGCAGAGGTACCGAGGTCTGATGGACATAATGTCAGCGTGCGTATTGGTGTTAGAACCGTTGTGGCGAAAGCTGGAAGAGCCATGGTGGCAAACATTGGGACGTAACATGAGCTCTATTGATTGAGAAGAGCTATAGCAGCAGTCACAATGATCGACAGGGTTTTTGGTCTAGGGTTTTGCTTTATAAATTTGGCTTAGGGTTTTGGCTTCAGTGTTCGGCTTAGGGCTTAAGGCTTAAAAGTCTTGGCTCTCAAACCCCAAGCCTCAACAGCTCTAAAACCCTGAAACCTTACGCCTTACCCTGGCACCTCATCGGCGACCCGCCGCTGACCCGGCCGGGGCGACAAAGGCGGTGCAGTCCAGCTAAGGAGCCCTCGGGAGAATGGAAGGGACCCTAAGTAAGGTGGAGTAGTAGAACTCGAATAGAGTCATGTACAGAGCATCTCTCTCTATATATGATATATACACACACACATAATACATGTACATATATACATACATATATGAATATACATGCATGTATACATATATATATATATATTCCTGTATTTGTTTGTTTATTGTTTGTTATGTGATCATTCATTTAGTTAACATATATACAGACGCAGATGACAGACGCACAGACGGACAGGCGGACGTAATGTGAGCTCGTGATTATTAAAGGTCCCCTCAATAGAGCTAAACTCGGCCCGGCACACAATAAAAAAAGGTCCCCTCAATAGAGCTAAACTCGGCCCGCACACGATAATAAAGACCCCTCAATAGTCCTAAAACCCGTCCCGTCCTACAATTTTTATGGTTTAAGTAGAGAAGCACTCCTACTACAAAGTGACGCCCTGGAAGAGGAGAGACAGAAACAGGCAAGATAAAGGAGAGAGATAGCCAGCCAGCCAGACTTAAGGCTTAGGGTGTATTACTACTGTACTACTGTACTAGTGTACTACTGTACTACGTACTGTATTACTGTACTATACGATTATACTATTGTGATACTGTACTAGTGTACTACTACTGAGAGCCCCAGCCCCCAACAACTTTGACCCCGGCCCCCCAAAACAACTTCCACCCCAACCCGCAAGCATGCCATCATTATTATGGATTTTTCTTGTTTGGGGGGGGGTTAATAATCAGGAGACCACATTACAGACGGACAAACAGCCATAGGTACTACATACCAACATACACACATACATACATGCCTACGTGCATACATACATGCATACATGCGCACATACATACATACGAACGCACACACCCACACACCTACACACCTACATCTATCCACCGATCCATCCATCCATCCATCCCTTCGGCTAAAGTGTATGGGCTCAGGGTTTAACGCTAGGGGTCTAGGGTTCGGGTTCAAGGGATACACAACAGTTCAACGGGGAGGTGTCTTCGGTAGGTCTCTACAAGCCGGCTTCCCATCAGCAGGGTCCTCAAACCCAAACACCTCCATCGTTAGTTACACCCCTTAAGCCCTGAATCCCCACTCAACCCTGCACATCTACTAAACCTTACACAACACCCTCAACCTAAATCCTAATCGCTAAAGCCTAAACCCTAAACCTGAAATCCTAAGCTGCGCGCAGCCCTCAGCTGCTGAATCTCAGGAAGCGGCGTGCCGGGGATGGCGCGCGCTTGACGCCTGGCTTGGGGCTCTCAGGGTTCCTTGAAGGGACGCTATGGGGCTTGACTGTTATATGCTGAAAAAAGTTATTCACAATATGTGATGTTAGTATACTATTAGTGTATTAATAACAGTATAATATCTGAGGTTCACAGGGTTGTAATCTATGAGGTTCACAGGGTTTAGGGCTTCGATGGCTCACGGGTTAGGGAGTTTGGGGGTTAAGATCTATGCAATCGGTACTGCGGACTGCCACGAGGTGAGACACTTGGCAGGCTTTACTTGGAAGGGCAGGGGACTTAGTAAGTAGGTTATAAGTGGAGTTATAAGTACCCTAAATGGAGTTACCCCAATTATAACCCTACTTATAACCTACTTACTAAGTCCCCTGCCCTTCCAAGTAGGAATGAGTTAAGTTTCGACCCAATCAGGTCCTCCACGAGGCTCAGGGCTTGCAGAGGGCTTAGGGGGCGTAGGGGGTTTGAGGGTTTCGAGCTTAGGGGTACATCTCGACTTGAGATGAACGTACTATAGCGGCGTGAATAACAAAGAAGAGGGTTTCAGGGTACATGACGTTGATGACATAGTGACTACAAGTACGGAAGAGCTGTGAAAGCCACGCTTCCCTCATCATCTCTGCGACTCGACCAAAGGAGTTTTATGCCCTAAGCTGTTTTTTGCTCCGGTCTGTTTCAGTACCGAAGCAGATGGCTCAGGAGACCTCCGCAATCTGAACAGCACTCTTATCCACCGCGGAAGCCCATCCGATTGAGTATCACTCCAGAACAACAATACGTTGTCATCAGAAACTGCCATCCAGAAGCCGCAAACACGAACACTGCCTGGCCACAGGACTCGCAACTGAAAACCTGAAACCCCATCAAGCGTATCCAAATTCATGGTGTGCTAAAACTGCTTGCAAAAACGTATTTGTAGCACCTAGTTCCTAAACCCTAAATCCTAACCCCTCATCCCTAAACCCTATCACCTACCATCCCTAAACTCGAAACCCCTGAACCAAAAAGAGAGATCCGCCACCAGGAGCGGAGACCCTGCAGGAGAGTTCAAAGAAGACGCCTTCGGAGTGGGGCTGCGTACCGAGGCCCATGGCCTTGCAGGGAAGCCTATAAGAACTTGTGAAAACAACATTTAGGGGCTTAGGGTTGTGATAACTCTTGAAAGGGCTTACGTAGAGTTTAGGGGTTTGGCTTCAAGGTAACTCTGAAAGTGGTTTACAGTTTAGGATTTAGTTCAACTAGAACTATAGAAGGGGTTTCGGATTACAGGCTTAGTTACGATAGTTCTCAAAGGGCTGTAGCGATTGTAAGGGTTTCTTCAAGAGAATTCTTAAAGGGTTAAGGAGGTTTAGGCTGGTCGTTTCTGTAGTTTCGGGTAGGTGTCGCTCGCGGCCCTTTTCGACACACTGGCATCTCTTGCCACGAAGCTCGGGCCCACTCGGCGCTTCACCAGAACTCTGCTGCCTGCCGATGTCACCCGATGGTCCAGAGCCCGCCCAAGACACGCAGAGCACGCCCCACGCTTGAACTCGGTCTCGATGGGCTCAGGGCAGCGCCCAGCATACTGCAATCCAGAAGTGCAGAAAAGGCAAAGAACGCCTCCTTGGGCTTGCTACCATGGCAGGGGGTGGCCATCCTGATAAATCGACATCTGAGCCTCCATGTGAGTGTCTAGCTTGGCATTGTTCCGGAAGAAGCCCAAGGAAAGACAGCCCGATGGTGCGCTTCATCGCCACTTTTGCCAGTCCTTATGCTCGCCCTGCAACGCCCAAACTGGAACCACCCATTTCTCCACATCGCCAGAAATCTCCTGAGCAGGGCTGCAGCGGGCGCACGACGACAACGTTTAGGCCAACTGCAGGGTCCCGGGTACGTACTCACGACTTCTCATGAGTATCATGATAACCAATGCGTGATGCACTGCCAGTTGCTGTGTTCAAACATCTTGAAGGAGCTCGGTCTTAGTATGTCGCCCCTGTCGAGACATCGATCCTAGGGCTTCTATGCACGGCCACAAACACATTGGATGTCATGGTCACAGCACTTGAACTTGTGACCATCATCATCACCATCATCACCATCCTCGGCCTTATCCCCATCCTCACCATCATAACCATCACCATCATAACTAGTATCATGTTAAACGCCATCATCACCATCTTCACTGTTATCGACATCATCACCCACCAGCACCAGCCATCATTGTTGCTTCTATTGGGACGGAAAACGGCGTTCCTGTTGTTGTTGTCGGTGGTGGTGGTTGTGCCTTTGCTGTTGGTTCTTGTTCTTGCTCCTGTAACTGGTTACACTGTAACGATCATACCCGTCACACCACCTCCTCCTTGTGCTCCTACTCCTCCTCCTCCTTCCTCCTCCTCCTCCTCCCACTACTACTACCACTGCTACTATTACTGCTGCTGCTACTACTCCTAGTACTACTGCTACTACTATTACGACTACGACGACGACGACGACGACGACGACTACTACTACTACTTCTGCCGCTGCTGCTGCGACAACAACAACAACTACTACTACTACTTCTTCTTCTACTACTACTCCTGCTCCTTCCTCCCCCTACTACTACTGGTGGTTCTCCTCGGCGGAGTGGACCAGGCGAAGTTCTTCGGTGCCGTCTGCGAAAGCGGTGCAGAAGACCAAAGCCGCTCCGGCCTGCATTCATGGTTTGGGGTTGAAAGTTTAGGGGTTCAGGGTTTAGGGTTAAGGGTTCGGGGGTGTAGGGTTTAGGGGGTTTTCGTTTTTAGGGGGTTTGGGCTTTAGGGGTTTAGGTTTTAAGGCTCAGGGTTTATAGTTTATAGGGTGTAGTGTTAGGGTAATGTATGCCCAGAGGGGTGCGGGTGTAGGGTCTTAAGGTGCAGCATATAAGAGTTTTGCTGCATAGACTATAGGGTTTGGCGTTTGGGGCGGTTTAGGACTTCAAGCTTCTTGACAACAGCAACCATAACAAAAAGAGGTATGCAGTATGAATGTAGTCAGGAGGGTAAAAAGAGTGGTGGAAATGGCGGTCATGCCATCTTTGTCATGCTCATGGTGAATCAAAGTTTGTGGCGAAACCCTACAACTTAGACCTTAAACCCTACGTCACAGCCCACAGTTAACGATTGGTTTTCGCGATTTCGGCGGCTAGAATAGTTTCTTTTCAAGTTGAGGGCTGTAGGCGCAATATGAATCAGACCGGACCTGAGACGAGGGTCGTCAAGGCTTCCCGTCAATTAAGCCTCGCTTTTGTCTGTTGAGCAAGGAAAGGTTTAGGGTTTAGGGCTTTTATTGTTTAAGGTCCTTTTTAAGGTTTAGGATTTAGGGTTTAGGATGTGTGTTGAATTCTGTGAGCGACTGAGCTATGAGCTTTGAAATGGACTTCTCCCGGTCGGCCTCCCCTGGAGCAATTCTGAAACAAGCGCCGTGGACCCCAACTCCTGCACTTCCCAGGCCAATGGACTTAGGGTTCGGCTGGCCACATGAATACGGTTGATGATATAAATCCTGCATTACCCATAAGAAGGACTACACCATAATTCCCAGAGTTTAAGGGCCTGAAGGTAATGCAGGATTTATATCATCAACCGTGTTTAGTGTTTCGGCTTTCAGGCTCGGGGACGCTATAAACCCTAAACCCCAAAACCACTCCCCAAAACTCGAGACCTACAGCTGCGATTCGCCTCCGGCTGCACCCGGAGGTTTTCGAGTTCCTGGGCTGTTCCGTTATCTCCCTTCTAATCTACGAGCTTGATCAGCAGAACCTTTTGATTTGGAAGCGGGGCTCCGATATTGAGCTTCCCTATACTGTAGCCGTAAACCCTAGACCCTATAGGCTTTAGCTTTCCGCCTGCTGCAGTGTTTCGGGTCTGCGTTGGCAGAGAGAGGCCCTTAAGACCCTCAATCTGGTGCTGTTCAACTCGGGTCGCGGGCTTAGGGCAATAGGACCTTGGTGTGCTTTAAGGTGATGGGGTGATAGGGCTGAAAGCTTCAGGGCTTTAGCGCGTGTTAGGGTCAGAAGGTTTAGGTTGTGGGGCTCAGGGTGTGGAGTCTTCCAAATTTGGGAGTTTCCTAAAATTAGGGGTGCCTTATTTTGGGGGTCTTCATAATAAGGATCATACTATTTAGGGTACTATATTAGGGTACCCTATTTTCGGAATCTCCCATTTAGAGTTGGGTTGTTTAGGGCTCGGGTTTTCGGGAAACCTTCCGGCTCAGCGTTCGGGGCATCCGGGAATGAAAGTCATGCACCAGCCCAGCGATACCCCAAACACGAAACCGTCGCCGATGTCATTTTCGAGTTTCAATTTTATAGGGTTTGCGTAACCCTAAACCACTAAACCCTAAACCTTGTAACCCAACAGATCATTGCACTCTGGCCCTTTCTTTTCGGAAAAGGCACCTGGTGGTGGAAGACCGTGGCACCTCCGTGCTCAGGCTGCACGTCGTTGAGGTAGCAAAGGCACCTAAACAACAAGGCAATAGTCGTACTAACGATAATCATCACAACCATTAACAACCTAAAGAGTTGCTTTTCAGTGCAATGGGCCTTCAGCTCCAAAGAAAAAGAGTTTAGGGTTTGGGGCAAAACACCCCCCCCCCCCCCCGAATATGGATTCTAAGTACTCTGGCTTCATTTGGGGCAGCTGGGACTGATTCCTGGCTATCTGCAGTTGAAAACACTGCCAGAAGCATGCCCATGGCTCTTTAGCAGCCTGGCCCTCTGCGCGCTGCCAGAGGCGATGCACATAACTTTAACCGCAACAGAACGGAACTTGGACCACATACTATACACTACACCACTACAATGTTGCAAAAACTACAAGACTACAACATTACCATAAGATGCAAACTGCAAAGCTAGACCACGAAGTCATGATAGAAAATTTCAGCATGCTCCTGCGGTTTAGGGTTTAGTGCTTAGGGTTTACGGTTCGATGCTCCTGGGCTCCGCATGTCCACAGCCCAAGGCGCTGCACCATCCGCTGCCCTCCATTGGCAGCAAACGTCTGCCGGTCTTCCTCAAAAGTAGATAAAGTCATAATAATAATAACAACAAGAAGAATGACAGTCATAATCATCAGCATAATCATATGGGTAATAACACCAATAACAATGACAATAATCATCATATGAATAATAGTAGTTATAGTTTTAACAACAATAGTAATCCCAGTATACCATAAAGCACGATCGCTAAGTAACGAGGATAGGCCTCTCTGGGTCCTGGGCATCCATACGGTTGATGATACAAATCCTGCATGACCTTAATAGGGTTTAGGGTTTAGGGTAATGACCCTGGACTATGGGACTGATGGTATATTCCTTGATATGGGTAATAAAGGGTTTATATCATCAACCATATGTCTCACATGCAGCAGGTAATGGAAGCAGCCGCTTGGCCTGGGAAGATTTAGCCTAATTCGGGTTCTATAGGATACTGCCTACGGAAGGCATCAAAGCTTAGGGCGTAGGCTTAGCGTGAGCGCGCGCCGAGGCCTAACTGCCCCTGAAAGCGGCTTAGGGTTTTGGGTTTTGGGTTTGGGGTTTAGGGTTTAGGAACGTACAATTTCACATCCCAACCGCCCTAGAAGCCCCATGGACAAGCCAATGACCCACGATGAGAGAGATCCTACTAAGTTTAGGCCCCACACCGCCTAAACCGAAACCACCCCTGCGAGACCCGCGGAGATTCTGTCCTGAGACCATCCTTCGCCAGGTAGCTCCTTCGGGAGTCGGTCCCAGAGACTCCAATATCCCTTAATTAAGCAATATCAAGAATACTCTTTAAATCACATCAGGGATAATCTTATAATTTAAAGTATAATAGGGGTATTGGTGTCTCTGGGTCTTCTTCGCTCTCGATTCGAACCTTCGGCGGGTTTACTGAAAGCTTCGCGCAGGTATTTCTATCGAATTCTTCTGGGTTGCATTGGGAATCTGTACCTCCGGACAGCCGACCTGCACAAGGCCTGGACGTCCGACTAACACCGATGCAATCAAGACCTTCTGTAAAAAAACCCTGCACCCTAAACCCCCAAACCCCAAACTCCTATACAGGCTCTGAACTCTACCCCGAGACCTCCTCCCCAATAAA